ATGAGGCCAGGTCGATCAGCAGCAGCAGCAGCGAGACAGACAGGAGCAGCAGCAAGATCAGCAGGAGGACAGGAGCAGCCAGCAGCAGAGCAGCATCAAGGACGGGAGCAGCAGCAGCGGAGCAGCATGACCAGGAGCTAGCAGCAGCAGAGCAGCTAGCATGACCGGGAGCCAGCAGCAGCAGCAGCAGACCCAGGAGCAGCAGCAGCAGGACAGGAGCAGCAGCAGCAGGACCAGGAGCAGCAGCAGCAGCAGCAGTGACCATGAGCAGCAGCAGCAGCAGCAGGACCAGGATCAGCAGCAGCTAAGACCAGGAGCAGCACGCAGCAGAAGCAGGACAGTAGCAGGGAGCAGGAGCAGCAGCAGGACCAGGATCAGCAGGCATGCCATGAGAGCAGCAGCAGCATCAGCAGCAGGACAGAGCAGCAGCAGCAGCAGCGGACCAGAGAGCAGCAGAAGCAGCAGCAGCAGCAGCAGCAGCAGGACCAGGATCTCAGTCAGCAGGACCAGGATGCAGCAGCATCAGCAGCAGCAGGACCAGAGCAGAGCAGCAGCGCAAGGACCATGTAGCAGCAGCATGCAGCAGCAGCAGCAGTAACCAGGAGCATCAGCAGCAGCGCAGGAGGACCAGAGCATCGCAGCAGCAGCCTCAGACACATGAGCAGCCGGGCAGAATCATCATTACCAGCATCAGTCATCAGCTATCAGACCATGGACATCATCTGCAGCAGCAGCACCAGTATCATCAGCAGCAGTACAGTATGCATGCATCAGCATCATCATACCGGATGCATCATTACTCATCATCATCAGCATAGGCATCACTCATCATGACAAGTACAGCATCATCATCAGCAGTACCAGTATGCATCAGCGGCAGCATCATAATTACCATCATCATCATCAGCATAAATCATACCATATCAGCATCATCATTCACTCATGCATGACCATTATCTATCAGCATAATCATACCAGTACATCATAATCATCATCATCATTCCTTATCTCATCATCATCAAATCATTACCATTATCATCATCATCATATCATCATCCCATTTCACAAATCATCATCATCATCAGTACATTATCAATCATCATCATTACCATTATCATCATCAGAATCATCATTACCATGATCATAAACCCACATCAACCGCCTCTATACCTTTCAGGCAAACACACACAAGGAACAAGAAAAACAAAAGCGCAGTACACAGTTACATTTATACAATTTACAGTAAAACGAGGCAATGAACGCAAGAAAATATAAAGGTAATAGAGAAGGTGATAAGAATGGGAAAGTGAGGACGCCCACGAATG